GGACACGTCCCGATTGACAATGGTAATACGGGACATGTGATCAGATGAAAATCCTGGACATGTCCCGGAATGTCCGTATCCGCTCAATTTCGGCGGACAGTGTCCGGTGTACAACACTGTGTATATTCATTTGCACTATTTCTAGTATTTCCTTTAAATTACCGTATATGTAAACTAGACTTATTCTGTACTACAAGAATTCAAGAATTGTATAACATAATTAAACGATAATCTATTTCTGCGAACATTTGTTAAGTAAATAAGAATCTTTGCTTTCGGATAATGGTTTAAGGAATACTGTATAGCGACGCGAGAGTTACATAATATCGACATCTGTTTGAATGATTGTGAACTTGTTTGACATATCATAACTAGTTAACATATCATTCGTCATGTATCAAATCCATCCCTTATCATCCAAAACGTCTGTATGTTTTTTCTACATAGTGGACAATACAAACGCAAAACATAAAACTGATCTACCAATACATTCCGGAGCGGAAAGAAAATAAGCTTAAGTTTGGTTATAAATCGGATTATTTGGTTGTTTTGGTTGAAGTATGAAAAAAAAATAAGCATACATATCAATTGATTCTTGAGTTTCATGTATTATTATAAATTATTTGTTTATAGATCAACGAATCCCTTAATTTTGTATCCTTTAAGAATAATGATTTTCGATTTTTCATCGTACCATACTTCAAGAAGGAAAATTACATTAACTTGATACATATCTTTTTTGCCAATTATGATTAACGATGTCCTCGGCGAGAGAATTATTCAATATTACGTAAACCGCTTTATTAATACATGCAAAAAAAAAATAAATAAATAGGTATCAGAACGTAGCCTGTGATATATGACGTCATGCTAATATACATGATTACCCTGTTTTTCAAAATACTCTTGAACCCGTTGCTTTTTCGTTGCCGGCTCCTTCTCTGCGTCCATCCTATCCTCCAACAATCCAACAATAACCTCCATCACCCGCTTTACGCTTTTACACAACTCCTTTTCTTCTTCCGAATTCTCTTTCAAGGCATACTCGGTAAAACGGATATTAAGAGGATTTTTACTAGTACAGGATATTCCATCCAAGGCGAATAGGATAAAATACCATTCCATGGCTGTTGTGACAATCCCATAGATGTAGTCGTAGTCCTCCCCAAAGGCTTCACCAGACTTTCATTTTCTCATATTTTTATTTACCTGTAACACACTTTCACATTGGATCAAATTCTGAGCGAATCCCATAACCACTTGATATAACTTCTCTTTCATGATGCAGATAAGTTCCTTGAGGGCCTTGATTGTGTAATCAACTTGACCAATACTTTCTTCGTCGACAACTTTGAGCTGAGGTGTCAAGGTAAGCTCTTTTTTCGTTATTCTTTTAACGATATAGAGCAAAGCATGAAGAATGGTCGAAATATACTCGCAACGCATGGTTTCATTGCTATTGGCAAGCATGGTCCCCATATTTCCCAGCCTACGCTTTATTTTCTTTATACATTGCATCAGTTCTTCATCATCGTCTTCGAGTTTGTAGGTTGCCTAAAATATTGAGAGATATAAGCATCTCATATTTGTTTGAAGGATATATGAATTTTATCAAGAAAAATTTTAACTTTTCTTTCAGTAAGCTTAACTTACGAGAAAACTTACGGGTGAAAACTGACGAATAGTGCCTATACCATTGTCACTGATGTCATATTTCGCCAACACCTCCTTCAAACTGCGATAGATCGAGAACGCATACTTCGGCTTTTCTTTGAGGGTCTTGGCCTCTTTAGCAACAAGTATTGCTAGTCCTAACGCAAAGTTAACGCTACAAAACATTTCTTCATTTAAGTCAAGAAAGAAGAGGCTGGTAATTTCTTTCTTGCGAAGAATATCATAGTACTTTTTATCATCGAGCTTGAGGTTTTGCTTTTTCAAAAAATCAATAGGGTTTCTGTATCCCAGTTCTCAACCAAGTAAGAGTCATGTTCAGCTATTGAGGTAGACATAGCGCTTTTTATATGGTTATTAGGCTCAGACAAAAAATTAGTGTTACGTTCGTCGAAGGTTAAGTGAGATAAAAATTTATTTCTGTTCAGGAAAGAAAAAACTGGGCATTAATATATCATTTTACGTCACACAGGCATCATATCATTACACGTGACATTTTTCAAGATTTATGACAAGAACGTAATATATGCATTATTTAAGAAATAAAAAATATTGCCAGAGCAACTGATACATAAAAATAGCATAACGAAAACACTCCTCACTATTGGGATGTTTGAATATTTAAATAAATTATAATATAAATATTTTTTTCAGAAGGTTGCTTGGGAAAATGATCAAGAATATTAAGTATTGGAATCAGCGCCTGTCCTTCATCCTGTCTCCTACTATTCACGCTTATCATCACTCCTTCAGCATTAACTGATGCTAGCACTTTATCTGAATTTAAGGCAATTGCATAGACTTCAAATTCAGTAATTAGAATATTATCAAATCGGGGAGTATGTTCTTTTTTAATTTGTGATCTGAAAGAATGGACGGATTCTTTATTATTAATTTTGATTGTAACGACATGTTGTTGTGTAATTCTCCCAACTGAATCACTAGGAACAACAAGACAATTAAGCCTGATTTCTGGTATTTTGCTTTTCCTAAATGTAAATGTCCATAGTGAATAAAGTTTCGTTCGTACAGATGTAATAATCCTTTAAAACATTTTTAAAAATATACAATAAAATATATTACCTTAAAATTTTATGAAAAAGTTGGCTGAACTTCTACATACTCCTACATGCTTTATATTTTGCTAGGAAAAAGTTAAGAAGGTATGAGACGTGATTAGTATTGTCATATGATACCAAGAGTTCTATGAAAGCACATGTAAATGAAATCCTCATACCCTTTCACATGTAGATCTACCTTATAAGATATATAGTTGTTTTACACCTGATGATCTCAAAATTACAAGTCCTTAAGCCTTTCACAACATATGTTTTTTTGGTACTATTTGCTTATATAGTAGGCCCTATGTTGTGATTAGATGCCCTTTCATATTTTCTCACATTTGTTTAGGAAAAAAGATAGAGGTATTGGTTAGCGAATATATATGCAAAATTAATATGCAAAAATGTCACATAGACCTATTATGTGATCAGCTTATTTTTGTTACACAATCTATGACTCAGCAAATTCTTCTGAGCTGAAGATCACTAACCTTGTATTGACCAATATATATCATCCAGTCAAGTCCTGAAGGGATCCCATATTTCTAATTGAAATTCAAGTGAATAATATGGTAATTTTATTAGACTTATTATTTGTGAAAGATAAATAATATTGGATTGTAAGAGTACATAGAATAATGATATTAGATTACTTATACTGGGTAGACTATATACAAATCACTTAAGTATTTTCTCTCTTCAATACTTTACCGCTTTTTTATTCTAATGGGTCTTAATTTCACAAAAAAGATCATTCCTGTCGTGTCAATTATCATTATAAATAGTCTAATCTTCTTCTCTCTATCCATATTCTTTAGTAAATTTATTGAAGGCTTTCTTCTTCTCAGCATCTATATCCTCATCAAACATTTTAATAATATTATAGATCAATTATACTTAATAAAAAATAAAGTACTAGTAACATGCATAGTTTCTTTTCAGTATGAGCGAAAATTAATATGTCATACAAGATCTGATTGATGATCCACTTATTTTTTGTTATACAATCTGATCGAAGGTACTGTGCATAATTCAGCAAATTTTTCTGAGCTGGTAATCACTGCTCCAGTTAATGATCAATATTTTAGACATAAATTTGAATATATGCTAACTAAAGATAAACACAATCATGACAAGTAATACTAATAATAAATTTGTTTAAAGCAAAATACTTGAAAATCAACTATATGAAATACTTTTGTATAAGAAGATAGATGTATTAGCTATTCAGAAACACCTAGCTGAAAGAAATTTTGATATTAATGACAATGCAAACCAAACAGCATTGAATTAAAGTAAGAAAGTAAAGACATTTGATTATATAAGTAGACTATTGTTTAATTTAGTAGAGATAATTATATCGATAGAGAAGCATCTTGAGATTAGTGAACATCTAACCCTTAATCAATATAGAGAAGATTTTATCGATAGATCATTGGGAAAATTTTCATTTAGAGAAAAATATTATTTGCTTTTATATCTGAAAGAGGATATAAGCATTATTCAACATTATCTTGGTATTGTCGGTTATACTGACAAAGAAACAATAAAAGAAGAAGTTGAGAAAAATGTGAGAGCATATATTCAAAAGTTTAGACGTTTCAAATGTGGTAATATAAAAATTCATCAATAGGGTAAAATACTAATCTATATTTTTGTCGTATAGGCATAATCTAGCAAAAAATCTTCTAAGCTGATCACTGATTCAGATTAGTTAGATCAATAGAGTACTAGCATTCTGCTTAATTGGCTAGTATTCTTTTATCTTCAAATGAAAAAAAATGTGAAATACAATATACTAAGTAACATAATGCTAATGATTACTAGCTAGATTGATCAGCTAGTATATCATCTAAAACTATTGCAATTGTATTGAAATTAGGTTGTCTGTATATCTAATATAAGGCCAAATTCTAATTAGAAACAGCACCATGTTTAGAAAAAGCACTAATTAAAAAATCACTAAATATAAAGTCAGAATATGTTCTAGTATTCTCAAAATTTTCAACGTGAATATTTAGATTAAGTGAAAGGAGCTGATCTACAGCTTCTATGTTAATATTATAGCACCTCTTCAGATCAAGATATTTTAAACTAAGATATGATCTAGCAATTTCTCTAATAGTTATATCAGTAATTTTACAAAAACTAAGGTTGAGTTGTTTGAGCTTTGGACAAGAATAAATAATATTACAAATTGATAGTTCACGAATATCTGTATAGTAAAAAATATTTAGATATTCTAATTTATGGCATGACAGGGCAATTGCATATAGACCTTCATCAGTTATTATGCTCATATTACAGGATATATATTTGTCCTTTTGTAAATTAAGATACTTCAGATTGGGGTATAATTCTACTATTCATTTAGTGTTTTGTTATTAAATCCTGTGATATAATTGAAATCTAAATAAATTATATTTGGGAACAAGCTCACAATGCCATTGAATTTTTTATTCGAAAGTGAGTGATAGTGTGAAATTTCCAGATAGATTAAATTTGAACTATAAACTAACTTTTGTCTTCTACGTACTATTTCATAAATTTTTTTAATTGAGAGTGATGTATATCATTTTCCTTTAGCTTAACGTATTTTCATAGAATAGAAGTACCATATCTGAATCACAGTTAGCCAATAAATAGAGCAGGATAGAGAAATTTATTTATCAATAAAAAATATAAAATCAGTTCTAATAGTTCTAGTATAATAAAAATGTTTATATGTGTCATAAATATTCTGTATTATATGTTGTATTTTCAAACAAAAAAATAAAATCATATGATCACTGCTCTGAACTAGCTAAATTATTCAGACTCTGATTCAGTTTCAGAGCTAGAAGATTTTGAATCAGAATAGCAGTAATCTTTATCAAAATTTTTAATATGAATATTTGGATTTAGCTAGTCAATGATTTTTTTGCTAATATTTTCACATCCTTCCAAATCTAGAGATTTTAAATTGAGATATGAGCGAGTAATTTCTTTGATCATTTTACTTGTAATATTGCAGTAACTAAGGTTGAGATATTAGAGCTTTGAGCAGGAATGTATAACATTATAAATTGATGGTTTACTAACAAAATTACAGCAATTCAGATCGAGATATTCTAATTTATAACAAGTATAAGCAGTAACCTCATTACTAATATCATTACAACTGATTTCTATATATCTTAAATTCAGAGATCTTTTGATGATAGCTATAATTAATCTATTATCCCACAAAGTCATAGCATCACAAAAGTCGAGATACTCTATGTTGAGATATCTCTGTATTATCATATTAGCATCTTTAATATCCCCTTTATTATATGTAATATCAAGATTTCGTAAATTTGAGCATGAGTTTAAGATGCAACTTATAGATTTATCTGTAATCTAACATGCTTTAGCAAAATGAAACACTTGTATATCATAACAATTTTCTGCGATTTCAAATAAAGATTTATCAGTAATATTTCTGCAGTAAGAAATATTTAGATGTTCTAATTTATGGCATGATCCTACTATTACACATAAACTTTTAATGGTTACTCATCACCTCAACCTAGATTAAACCATAATCAGACCTCAGAAGTGCTTACAACATTCTGCCATTATACCAGTAATAAATAAGTAATAGTTGAGTTGCGAAATAATGCATTTCTGATAACAAATGGGTTCAGGTCAAAATAATACATATTGCATCTCTAACTTCAGGATGCAAAATCAGCATACACATATTGGTAACTAATAGGCAATAGTTAAAATGCACTGACTATAGAAATGCATATTATACCTAACTAACTGAATTTGCTATATTATATGGCAGAGGGTATTCAGTGTTATAACAGGATCACGTAACTGATGCAGTAAGATACAATATAAATTCAGCCAGTATTATTCCACAATTTTGACTACATATGACTAATATTATTGATATTATAAGATACAATCAACTCTTGATATAGCGAACTCTTGATATAACAAAATTTTTGAATAAATATAATAAAAATACTCTTATTATAATAAATTGACCAATCAATCTCTTAAATCTTCACTATAGCCTTATAGTGAAGTTGAGATCTAGGATATAAAGTTCATTATAATAAGAGTTGACTATACTTTTAAACAATTTTTGCAAGTTTTAGAAATATATGCAATTGTAATTTTTATTAAATTAAGGGATTTTTTGTTTTTGAAACTAATGATAATGAAAAATAATATGTAATTTCATTAATAATTGGTATATTTAAATATGATTTATCATCATTTTAATTTTTCAATTACTATTATTGACAATACTCTTTTTGTGAATGTATAAAAGTAGAAGATTTTATATTATATGAAGCTAGATTGTTTAATATTTTAATTGCTAGTATTTCTACTTCATCAAATTTATTATAGAGTTTTAAATAATTCATTGTCAATTATTATTATTTAAAAAATCTAAGCTTTTATAATAAAAATTTAATAAAGCTACTATTAAGCTAAAATCATTTAGGATATTTTAATAATATATCAATATATTATAAATATTTTGTTTTACTTTTTTCAAAATTCCTTCTGTATTTAATGGATTTTTAATTGAAATCTTTTTTTTTGTAATTTTACTTATAACTTCATTATCATTAAAGTTGGTATCTGATAATTCTATCACTTCTGATCTAAATACAGTATTCTCATTTGAAAAATTATCATTATTAAATAGTATTTCAGTAGCTAAATCAAAAATTATTTCTTTAATTATTAGAATAATTCAATTTAAAATAATATATAAATTTCCAGAAAATTCACATGTTGCTTTCTCAAATAACATTAACAAATTAATAAATTGATTTAACAAAACTTATTTATTATTATCAAGTAATAATCTTTTTAATTTATTACAATTCTTCTTAGTTTTCTAATCTATTAATATAGATAAATTAGTCTAAAGTTAAATAATAACATTTTTTAAAAAAATAGATGATTTCAGGCATAATAAGAAATTTTATTGTATATATATATTTGAATATAATGCAAAATATCTGTATAGCTAAGTTTTCTCTGCATCTACTTTAATCATTTTACTTATTTTTAATATTGAAAAAATTAATTAATCTTCTTATACATGCTACTAAAATTTCTACTAAAGACAATTCCTTTTCAATTGCTAACTGAAGTATATATGCTATACTAGAAAAGTATTAGATATTTTTATATCTATTTTTTTTGATTTAATAAAGGAAAGGTTGCTATCATATTAGATATATTATCTGTGGTAATTAAAATTACATGATTTCTAAAATTCTAAACTTTGATACATTAATAAAGTTTATTAGTAATAATTTTACTGGTATATAAAGAAGGAAATATATTTATTTTTTAATATTATATCTTTGATTTTAAAATTTAATGTATCTAAGTTGTAGTAACTTCTAAATATCTATATTTAGTTTTATTAGATCGAAGATCAATTATAAAAGAAATATTTTTAGTAGTTTTGATAAAAAGATTTTGCAAATTTTTTCAATTAAATTTATAACTCTTAATAATTATTATCCTAATTTTTTTCTCTTAGAATAACAAAAAAAGAATTAAATTCTATCATTTTACTTTATAAGTTTTATTAGTAATTACAAAAAAGGCTAATTTGTAAGTAACATCTATTTAAAAATTACTTTTTACATCTTTTTGAATATATTTAGAATAAAGTTTATAATTTTATGCAAAATCAATAATTTTAGAATTTTGTATCAAAAAATTAATAATGTAATAAATATATATTAGTCAACAACTATATTTACCTTTTTAAAACATTTTTATTATTATATAATATAATATTATGTTTATCTATAAAATATATGATCAAATTATCTGTTAAGTTTTCACTCCTTTCATATTTATATTCATAGTTACATTTTATATCATTTTTATCTAAAATATTATAAACTTAAATCTCATT